TTTCCAGTATAGTCACACCCTAAGATACTTACCTGTACTTCTCAATAAACTTGATGAAGCTGGAATCATCAACTTTCACACACATTTCAAACAGTCTTAAATGCAACTGAGTCTGGAGGCAGCCCGTGCAATGTGCTTTACATACAGCAGGTATTGTGTTCACACCCTAAACCCAATGGAGCAAAAAATGTTGACACGCAATGCGTGAATATATTGACTCACTGGAAAATTCTCAGAAACATGGACATGATAATGCATCATTAATGACTGCTAATGACAAAGCTATTAGATATTATAATAGATAGGCATGCGGCAGCCACAGTCCTGTTGCGTGTGCAGTAGTTCCACTAGCACCAAGATGGAAGTGCAATCCTTGAAGCACCTCCACCAGCATATTGCACAATCGGTTGGGCTGGGGATGCCCAGCTGATTGTGCAATTGCATGCTGGCTGGATAGCTTAGTGGTTTAGATACCTGGCTGTGGAGCCAGAGGTTGGGAGTTCGATTCCTCACTGTGCCTCCTGGAAGAAGAGCCAGCCTGTGTGGCTTTGGACAAACTGCTCAGTCCCAGGGCACCCCCCTGAGGAAGGGAATGGTAAAACTCCTTCTTAGTACTGTATTCCCTTCCTGGAAAACCCTGAAAAGGATCACCATAAGTCAGAATCGACTTGACGACACATTATTATTAATTCCTTTAATTTACGCCCAAATAATTTTACATTACGCTGGCATGAACAGGATCTTGCCTATTATGCAACACCGATCCCTTTTTTAAAAAGCAGTTCTGAGAAGGATGTGTTGGGAGCCGAAATCTCCATCACTGAGCTAATTTGAAGAAGAAGAAAAATCCCGCCTGCAGCAACTCATCTAGCTCAGTAAAAGTATGCCATGTTAACAGTCTGAATATCAAACGCCCAGAATGAAATGTTTTAAGAAACTAATGGAAATTGCGTTTTGACAAAAGGAAGTGCCAGAACTGTGACAAGCGAATCCTCGGGAGGCACCGCGCAGCAGAATACTAAAGACATCCCATTAAACAACTCAAGAGCATAGAAGCCATCATCCCTCTAGATACTTTAACAAAAACTGAACCCACTATACCCAGTAGAAGCATTTGATCACTTGCACTAGTATATTAGAGGTGTTTAGCATATTTCAATTATGCTCAAAACCGCAGCAATGTGTGTTTCAAGTCTGTTTCTTCTTAAATAAGGGAAGTTGCAAATAAAGATTGATCAGTGAAAAAAAGACAGACCTTTCTTTCACATACACTCCTGTTCAGGATTGGCAGCAAGTTTTCCTATTGAAATGAATGGACCCTAATCCTGAGTCAATGTGCATAGGGCCATCCTTAATGAGATGGTTCCCCATTAAGCTGATGTACCTATTGGCTAATGGTGTATATATACTGCCGTCCTTTAGATCAAGCTGAAGGACGACTGCTAAGACTTGGGTTTCTGCTGATTAGAAGTCAGGAGAAAATGAATGTGTTGGTCTTTTCTCTCAAAGTTAGACAAAGTTAGTTTGGTCCTTCTGAAATCAATCAGGCTTGGGAGGCAAATTCTACCCATGTTGACTCAGAAATAAGCAATAATGGCAATTACGTCCCAATACGTTGCCCTTATGGAAAGTATGGAAAGTGAGACTGCCCCTCTCTCTGAGTTCTGCTCAATAATTAAAAAAATACAAAAACTGTTTTAATGCAATGTGTGGAAAGCTTTCCAACAGAGGGACTAATGTCACAAGTTTAATGGATGACATGTACAAACCTACACTGCATGCCTAATAACAGCAGTAGAAGCACCAACAGCACCAGCATGTTGTCTGGTCGATCCTGACCTTTGCTAGGGCTCCTTAGATATGAAGTGCTCAGGAATGATTTCCTAGTTCCTTCAACTGAGGCCCTCTGTGCTGTGCAGCTTGGTCCAGAGTCCCAGACCACAGAGCCTGGCTCTTCTACAAGGCACAGGGGATGATCAAACTCCAGGTCAGTGAGCTTTCCAGCTGTATACTTGGCACAACTCTTAAAACTGAAAGGCATACACAGGCCAAGGATTCAGCATCAATGTTTCTATAGGTTTTCCACCCTAGTGCACTCCAGATTTTCTGGATGACAACTCCCATCATTCCCAATATGGCTAAGGGTGATAGGAGTTGAAATCCAAAATGTATGGAAGACACTAAGTTGGGGAAGGTTACTGGCACTCTGTGTGTGTGTGTGCGCGCGCGCACACACACACATGCATGCACACGCTTCGAGTGGTGCGCACACACACACATGCATGCACACACTTCGAGTACTACACAGACCTGGTCTAGTTAAAGGCAGCAGTGACCCCGGTTTTGGTCTAGTTAAAGGCAGCAGTGACCCCGGCTTGTACGTATGTGGATCCATCATAACCATTTGTTCTCCTGTTTGTGATTTGATGGAATAAAATGTGAAGACAAGTACTATAGGGAAAAAAAAGTTATTCCCTGATTTTTCACTGAGATCAGACCAAGATCACAATCCTCAAATTCTCAGGGGACAGCTGATCTATTCAGGACCACATAGCTGAGGCCGGTCACTCTCCTGCATTGTGCCTGAGTTTGATTGGAACACGTGCCTGATGAGGAAAGCACAGCATGATCACAATAGGCTTATTCCTCTGTAGGTATGATTATGACTGTAACCTTCAAGCAATGGAAAGCAAACCAAAAACAGAATATCCTAGTTAGAATACATTACATTAAATGAGTATGTTCCCTATCTATTTCGAAAAATGATAAACGAACGAATCATAAACCAGTTCTTGGCCCCTACAAATACAGTAAAATGTGTAAAAACAGCCATGTTCATGCTTAATTACACAATGGAACAAACAAATGTTATAATCTACAATTCCCCCTTTGCACAATGGGGTTGTTAGAAACAGCGGTGGCATTGACATGTTTGCTTTATATGGCACAGTAGGGTTGGATCAAATCAGTGGGTCTAAAAGGGGTAAGAACGCAGCAGTGTAACTGATCTAATGAAATATCTACCACGGTCAGAAATACTTTGATCTAGCATCTATACATGTTTCTCTTCATCTCTGCTTCTTACCCAACAGCAATGAAGATACAGTATTATTTTGTTAAGTGGCTCTTGTACAACTGTAACAACAATGCTCTTTCCTTTATTCACATTGCCGTCACCAAAATCATTTGCCAGTGCTATACAGGTAACTGGAACTAAGTGAATGATTTAAAAATCAGAGCACTGTTCCTTCTATAGTTTTGTAATTAAACTAATTCTGGTTGAAATTAAAGGAGGGGAGTGTGACAGTCTAGATACTTCAAAATAAATCCCACCATGTTCAGGATTGGTAAACTAGATACACTCAGAAGCAGAAAAGCTCCTCAGCACAAGACAAAAAGACATCATAGAAAAGTAAATGAAAATGTGGCCCAAAGACTGTTTAACCTCCAGATTTTGCATCTGAGATAATAATAGTACTATAGAAGGCAATGGTATAAAATACTGTAATCTAAAAGCCAGTAACCTAAAGTACCAGATTAGGAGAAGCAATTCACTCATATAGACCAAGAAACGAAGCATTCATCTCTGCCAGCATTTTCTTGGCTTACTCCTGAGAAATTTATTTTCCCATGATAGAACTATCACAAGTACGAAAAGACTGGATTTCCAAATTTCTGTTAAATATATTTTGTACAATCTGTAAAACCTAAGATATATACATATCTTTATGCTACATAAATTTAGTTATTCCACTTATTTACTAATTAATCCATGAAATCCGACCTTTTAACAGTTACAGTTACTATCCTCATCTGCTGTGTAATTTACAGGTGAGAATAAATGTAAATTCATCCATCTATTGGATGCAAATCATGGTATTCCTTAGTTTTAATGTGAAGAGGAATATGAATCCAACATGATTATCAAGACTTTGCCAATTGCCTATATTAAGATAAATAAAAGTACAAACTCATGTATACACTTGTCTAGTTCAAGGGGGAATTTCTATTAATGGCCCAACTACTCATTTTGAATTTGGTGTCAACAAAGCTTGCTACCAAAAATGTTAGTATGAACAGAGCTGACAACACAAACCTTGTTTTGTCCAGTATCAAAACAACCCCCCTCCATTTTAAATGAGAATGAACATTACTTTGTAGCAAATTCTTTATTGTAAAGGTAGTAGACAACTGCCCCTCCCAAGAATATGGAATTTTATTTTTGTAATGTACTGTATTTATATTTATGCAAAGTTACAGGATCTAGTTCAGCCGGTGTGCAAACACATGCTGTACAAGATGAGCACTTATTTGGTGCTACTTTTTCATGTTTAGAAAGCTGAAATCAAACTCTCTTAGAAACACATTAACAGTTACATGTCTCCACAGAAGTAGGCGTAGACAAATCTATAGGACTGCAGCTTAATTCTGTCATCAGGTTACAATGGGGTTGGGGAGAGGGACCCTTTTCCCTCTTCCTGCTGAAACTGAAATGTGAACTAACTGTAGTTGCGTGATAGACTGAACAACAGAATTAAATGGATATAAATTGATGAAGCAAGTCTATTGCATCCAGTTGCCATGTTGGTTTTCTCCTCCAGTCCAGAAAGCATATGGAGGTCTTAAACATCACGCGTGGTCCAGCTAACTTTCAACATTTTGAAGCTTCACCATATTCTGTGATCAAGAGCTTCTAAAACTTTGAGCTATCCTTCCTCTAACAAGGGACAAATATAGCCTTTTAAATAGAACTCTTTTACACCATAGGGAACTGATATCACAAAGAGCATTTCTCCCTTTTGAGATCCTGTTGGGAGTTTTGTTTGCATTATTCACCCTGCAAAGCTTTTAATTGTGTCGCAGCTAAAAGAACCAAGGCTGTTCTTTTGTTACATTTCAGAGTTAAAACCTTGATCTGCGAGAGCTTCCTGAAAATGAAGCCATGAAGGCAGTCAGTTCCCTCCCCCCCCTCCCCCAAATCAAAATGCATTCCCCAACGGAAAACTTTATTGTGATCTTTGCATTAATAGAAAAGGCTGACAAAACAGTACAGGAGATGCAGGTTGTGTTTCAAACTACTGACGTGCTCACCTAAAAAGTGGGAGATAGGTTTGTGGAGGCTAAAGAAACAAGGAAAAACAGATCTCCTTCAGACCATGTTATTTTATAAAGGGTTCAGAAGAAAGAAAGGATCAAATAAAACGGACTCAGTGGGATCTTCGCCAGATGACCCACGTGTTAATGTATTTATTTTCACGCAGCGGTTTCAGTGTAGGTCGCTTTACAGAAACATCTCATGCTGTAGTTCTCAAAGGGAGCCAAGGAGGGGGATGAAGGAAACATTTTTTAAAAAATCAAACAAAGCTATTAAATAAGCTATACACAAAAGGCTGGTCTTTCTCCCTCAAGAGAGATGAAAAAGTTCAACAGTGAGTGGAAACAGGTCCTCTGTCATGGGGGCAAATGCAGCTACTGCGGCCATATTCTATTTCAATTCCTATTTTTTTAAAAAAAACAGTAATCCAGCCCACTTTGACCAGGTATTTCCAAACAGCAACAAAACTGAGGCCATCTCCTCTGCGCCAGGTAACAGCTGCAAACACAAGAACACAGTAGTCCTGTCTTTCGAGGCTGACCAGATAGGTGATGGGTTCCCAGCATATCTTTTCTTTTCTCCACCACAAAAAAAGGCAGAAAATCCAAGCGAAGGAAGATTCTCCCCAGCATGTATCACAAATCCACAAAATTGCAAAGCTTGCAAGACTAAAGTGAGGTTTCAACCTCTCATAGACTTGGGAGGACCTGCTGGTACGACAAAGCTGCTAGTCCCTGAGGACTGGGGCTTCCAAGGCGAGAGTGCAAACCTCACCCAGGAGCAGGCTCAGAGTCCCTGGAGGCCTAAGGGTCTCTTGGGGGTTCCTATGAGAGGTCCAGCCAGCTGCTCCTTGAAAATGAGATGACAACCATGAGACACAACCATGTGTAGTCAGCCATTTTGGTCTCAAGATTTTCCAGGCGTCTTGTGAGGGGTGGTGCTCTTCCATCCTGGAGGGTCCTCATAAGATGCAAGACCTCCATGAGGGTGGTCCTGGATACTGCTAGGTCCAAGAAAGGCCCAAGAAAGGTCCAGAGCCTGCCAGGAGAAGCTGGAGGAGATCCCTGGCACCCCAGCGGTTCTAGGCCCGGGGGCCGCCCCCAAGACCAGACGTCCTTCCCCCCGCTCCCCCAGCAAAGCGAGCCGGTCACATGTCCCTGGGCTCCTCTCTTTTGACTGCGCAGGCGTGGCCGGTGCCTCCCCCCGCCGGGCCCAGCGCGCCCCCGCCGCCGGCCGCCTTGAGCCGCTTGTTCTGGTGGGTCTTCACGTGCTTGGCCAGGTGGTCGCTGCGCATGAAGCGCTTCCCGCACTCGGCGCAGCCGAAGCGCTTCTCGCCCGTGTGAGTCCGCAGGTGCCGCTGGAGCTCGTCGGAGCGGGTGAAGCTCTTGCCGCAGAAGAGCCAGTTGCACACGAAGGGCCGCTCGCCCGTGTGCCAGCGCAGGTGCGCCTTCAGGTGCGACGTCTTGCCGTAGACCTTCCCGCAGCCGGGGATGTGGCAGCTGTGGAGGCCCTTGCGGCGCAGGCTGGCCCCCGCCGGGCCCAGGCGCTCGGCCTCCTGGCAG